CCGAATTTCAGCTATTTTTAAATTGTATTCCTACTTGTACTCTCATTTCCTTTTCTAATTTTGGATTTTATTTTATTTTTATTTTGAATTTTGATTAATCTCGTATTGGGTTATTATATGGAAACTTCTTTCAATATTGCTTATTTTTAATTCCGAATTTCAGCTATTTTAAATTGTATTCCTACTTGGACTCTCCTTTCCTTTTATAATTTTGGATTTTATTTTATTTTTATTTCGAATTTTGATTAATCTCGTATTAGGTTCTTATATGGAAACTTATTTCAATATTGCTTATTTTTAATTCCGAATTTCAGCTATTTTTAGATTGTATTTCTACTTGGACTCTCCTTTTCTTTTTTTTTTGTCTGATTAATGTGGAAATTTTTTGCTCCCACAGCGAACGTGGTGCCTCCTTTCAAAGCTGTTTTAATAACTATTTTTAGATTGTATTTCTACTTGGACTCTCATTTTCTTTTTTTTTTCTTTTTCTCCGATTAATGTGGGAATTATTAGCCCCCACAGCGAACGTGGTGCCTCCTTTCAAAGCTGTTTTAATAATATAATAGATAGATAGATTAATACCTGAAGATGTTGTCCCTAAAATTCAAAAAGCAAAAAGATAGAGAAGAAGATATGGTACATTTATGGATTCCTAAGTAACCCTGCAGATGAGGTACCTCTACCTTTTCGATCAAAGGCTTCGTTCGAGAAGACAGATTGGCTAATCTTTTTCGCCGCATGCAAAACGAGAATAATCATTAGCATGACTAATTAAGTGTTAACTATTATAAACTTAAAAATATTTTTTTCAAAAAGAGAACTTCTATATATACAATTTTGCACAGAATATATTGTTTGGCAATTTGGGAAGCATATGCTAATGAAATACAAGAAAGATGTCGTTTGTCGTTTTGATTTGCTGAAAAGAACTCATCCTAAGAAGGTGCACAATATACTTTAAAATTAACATTCGAGGCCCAACCCCAAAAGGGCAAAACCTGCACCTGAATACAACAAGGTTGGAAGTACACCCTCCGTAGAGAGAGAGATATAGCTCCAAACATTTGGATGTACACCCTCCGTAAAAAAAAGAGATTTAGAGGGAGAGATATCCCTCCAAATATTTTTTAAAAAGAAAATGTGTGTTTTGGGGGGAGAGATATCCCTCCAAATATTTTTTAAAAAGAAAATGTGTGTTTTGGAGATTGAACACATGATTATAGAGTTGAAACCACACATCTTTTACCATTTCACTATCAATTGTATCTCATCATTGTTTGGATACACAGGAAGAGGGATAAAAGCAGCATTTGCTAGCATAACAACTTTGAGAATGTTCCCTCGCGAGTAACGGTGAAATCACGTTCTACACTATGGGTTGTTTTGTTTTTAAGTCCTATCAAATTTTTGGTTGGATTGTATTGTTTCAACTCTATTGAATTGGCATAATTTGGCCTCAATCCAAATAGTTAGTAAATACTATTCAAAACTATCAAATAACTGGTAGGGCAAGAATTGACCACAATCCAAACGACGTACTACCTCCGTTTTTTAAATAGATGACGCCGTTGACTTTTTCTCACATGTTTGACTATTCGTCTTATTCAAAAAATTTACGTAATTATAATTTATTTTGTTATGAGTTGTTTTATCACTCATAGTACTTTAAGTGTGATTTATATCTTATACATTTGCATAAATTTTTTGAATAAGACGAATGGTCAAACATGTGAGAAAAAGTCAACGGCGTTACCTATTAAAAATGGAGGGAGTACTACTCTATTGTGGAGATTATGGGTACCCCATACCCACACGGCATGGTTATCCGACTAGTTATAGGGGATAACTTATATATATGAAATATGTAACAGATTATGACTTGGGTATTACGTTTCCCTGTATATTATGGAACGGCCTAAAGTCCTGGTTTGATAAGATTGTAAAGTAGATTTAGTAAACCGATACCGTGTTGGTTAAGGTTTCTATCTTGTAATCCTGCCCCCCATCCTATATAAGGTGGGCAGGAGGCCCTCTAGGGGGCATGACACAACTAGATCGTCAGATCAATACACACCCGGCGGATTCAAATCCCCAAACAGGAGTAGGGTATTACCTCTCATTGAGAGGGCCTGAACCTGTCTAAATCCTTTGTCTCCGCATCCATCCACTTTTAGGGCTCGTGCGCTACCCCTTTTATTATTGCCGAAATCTAGTTTCGACAGTTGGCGCGCCAGGTAGGGGTTGCGTCGAATTACCTGTCGAAAAGTGCGATGGAATCAACTTCAGAAGAAGCCCGGAGATCAATCTCATCAATTTCGACGGCTCAAATCTTTAATCGGGTTTATCGTTCCAATCTAATTTTTATTAGATTGATTTTTAATCGTTGTTTGATTTCCTGATATTTTGATGCATTTCATATACTCGATGAGATCGAGACACGGCCATCATCGTCGCCTGCTCGGGTGCCCTTGCCGTGTCCGAGTGCTCCTCTCTTCCTTTCCTTGCAGTTGGACGTGTTGCTGGAGTAGCACAGGCCGCCAGGAGCAAATTAAACACACGCATCTGTTGATTTATTAATCAACACGTATATGCAGACTGGAATTAATCTACTAATTGCTTTCTATTGCATGTACACATGTGCCGTTCGATTCCTGTTTCCATGTATGACAGTTGATGTGCTCCGCCGGCCATCTCCGATAATGGCGTCATACCGAAAGAACATCGAGTTAGCAGTTAGTTGCCGGGGCTTATACATGTTGCATGGCGCGTCGCCGGCTATCACCCACGATCCAGCCTCACTGCTCGACTTGAGTTTTTCGTTTCAATTTGTTATCAATAATCAATATATATTAGATTGATTTCTAATCTCAGATTAATTTCTTGCTATTTTTTGTTGTTGTTCGCATATAATTACGCGGCACTACTGAGGCGAACGATGTTGGTCATGGACTCAAGGCATCTCAGCTTTCCGGTCAATCGGCCGCGAGTCCACTCCGCCGGCTTGTCCTCGCCACCGCCATTGCTGATATCAACAACGACTTCACCGCCGGCTTGCCTCCATCGCCGCCGACTGGTGTCTCCGCCTACACGGCTGGCCTATTATGCCGCCGTTGTTGGGCGTCTACGACTTCACCACCGGCTTGCCACCGTCACGGCCGACTGGTGTCTCCGCCTACACGGCTGGCCTATTATGCCGCCGTTGTTGGGCGTCTACGACTTCACAGTCGGCTTGCCTCCGTAGCCGCCGACTGGTGATCTCGCCTATACGGTTGGTTGGTCACACCGCTGTTCATGGGCGTCCACGTCTTCACCGACCGACCGCCACGTCTGCCGCCGACTGGTGCTTTCGCCTTCACAGCTGGCCTATTATGCCGCTGTTGATGGGCGTCTACGTCATCACCACCGGCCTACCTCCGTCGCCGCCGACTGGTGTCCCCGCCTATACGGTCGGTTGGTCACACCACCGCTGTTAATGGGCTTCATCATCTACACCACTGGCTTGGTTCCACTGGCGCCGACTGGTGTTTTTGTCACCATTGATGGACTGCTTTATTCCCACATCGGCTACTTCTGCTGTCATCGAGGGAATACGACAAAGCTAAGTCATCATTTATTTTATTCTTTATATGATATTTTGTCTTTTCCTTTGCCTCACTACATCAACTGGTTCGCCGTTGACTAGTGAGTCGGGGGCTATAGATGTTATATCGTATTTTTTAAACAATTTTCATAATATTTATCTTGATTGCTTGCGACATAATCTGAGTACAAAAGTACCTATCGAGTTATGGAGTTCTATCTTCCTATGCTTTCCGTTTGGTTTGCCAATGGATGGTTGCCTTTGGGCCGATTCCTAGCACCCGGGGGCTCGTTGGATGGACCGAGTAACGCAAGGTGCTAAGTATTATTCGGAATAAATCAAAAGCATAGAGATGAGATAAATTTATTTTCTGCTCTTAACAATTGCAAAAGTACCCGAGTAGTAAACTCTGATCCGTGAAACTTTGTTCCATTAATGACGAACTCATGTCACTCATATGCATGTTTGGGAAGTGCCTAGGCCGACTCCCGATGCTTGGTGGTTATGACTAGTCGGGCAGAGTGTTTAAACGTACAGAGTCATCTGCTCGGGGAAATCAAAATTGACAAGAGGAGAAATACATATTTATAAATATTTTAAAATACTTGATTTTTTCTCGAGTATTATATTTATATCAGATACTACTCATCCTATATGTTTGTTCTGCAGGATCCAGATCCAGATATGCATAAAAGGGATTCATGGCTTTAAGCTTATCTCTTACGCTCCAGGAATGGATCAGTCAGAACATCACCACCGGCTCGCCTCGACCGCCGCCGACTGGTGTTTCCGCCTGCACGGCTGGCCTATTATGCCGCCGTTGTTGGGCGTCTACGTCTTTACCGACCGGCTTGCCTTCGCCGCCGCCGACTGGTGTTTCCGCTAGGGGTGGATATCGAGCCAGCTCGGCTCGGCTCGGCTCGGCTCGGTAAAGCTCGTTAGGATAACGAGCTGGCTCGGCTCGGCTCGTTATCCTAACGAGCTAAAAACCCAGCTCGGCTCGGCTCGTTTAAAAGCTCGAGCTAGCTCGTTAAGCTCGCGAGCCAAACCATCCAAAAACTGCCCCTAGCCCTCAGCAACAGCCAACACAGCAAGCAGCCAAGCATGCAATGATAGTATGATAAATTGTTACATGAAAATATCAAAGCAACAAATCACATTCACATATAAGTAATCTACTCAAAGTCTTGGATTAAACACATTTCACAAGTACATAAACGTCCACACTCCAGTACTCCACAGTCACAATGACACATTCTGAGTTACTGACATAGTGACATACATCATCAGTTCATCACATATTGCAATTAACTTCAAAATAGTTCAACAAAAGACTGTAATTAAACATAGGTTCAGTCCAGTACAATAATCCATGCTTCAAGTTCAATAGTTCAATACTTCAATACACCAATATTTAGCATAAGTGCATAACTAGTAAAGCTGCAGCCTGCAAGGTTCATCATTTTCATGATTTCATCCAACACAGTTGCACATAAACACAAAACACAAATAGCATGGCAATTGGCAGCTCCCTTTCTCCCATAGTCCCACACTCCCTTTCTCCCATAGGGTGTAGGCTTGTAGCCTGCAGGTAAACAAATTATAGAGTATGATATAAATGGGTGAAAGTCATAAACTTATTAAATAAATATAAATTGTCCCTACTAGTTGCTTGCCACCACACAATTGGGGAAGTCCACTATTTCGATGTCATCATCTCCATTTTCTCCCTATGAAAACAGTCCAAAGTGAACATTTTATACAAAAGACTTGACAAAAATAAAGAATAAAAAATAATCATTGCATTACATACCACAGGGATAGGTGCACTATTGTCATTTTGAGAGGCTCTTATCCAGCTTGAAGCACAAACCAAAGCCTGAACTGTTTCTGGCTTCAAAGAACTCCGGTAGTCATCAAGAATTCTTCCCCCGGTACTAAAAGTGGACTCTGATGACACACTGCTAGCTGGAACAGCCAAGAACCTCTTTGCCATGTTGGACACAACAGGAAACCTATGGGCATTTACCTTCCAATAATTGAGTAAGTTGAAAGTGCTATCTTCGAGGGACACATTTGGTTCATCTAGATAGATGAGTAACTCAGACTTTGAGGATTCTTTAGCATTTGACTGCAAAAAGGATTGAAATCCACTTGGAATAATTGAAGCCAATGAGGTGGTAGTAGAGATTGAGGATGAGGCCGAGTGACCATTGTGTGGACTGTTCCCACCTTGGTTGTGGCGACATATCCGCTCATACTTTCTGTAGAGTTTTTCCATCTCATCAGTTATGGCAGCAACCTCTGTTACACACCTTGTCTCACCAAAAAATTCACTGAAGCACCATCTAATGTACCTCATTTTGAACCTAGGGTCAAGGATTGTAGCAATGATCATGATATTGTTTGTGTTCTCCCAATATTTATTGAATTTTTCCAACATTGCATCAGCCATAGTCACCAGCAATACATCATTAGGGTCAGGTTCATAAAGTCCAGACTGCTGCCCTAACCTTGCAGCTTCTAACAGTGCAGTTTGTGCTTGTGCTCTAGAAGCTAATATTGCAATCTTAACTTTAGCTATGTATGGATAGAAAACATTGGCAGTGGGGTAGGTTGACCCTGAAAATGCAGTGGTTGCACCAGACATTGTTCCCAAGATTGGCTGAATTTTCTCAAACAAATCCCATTCAGATTGTAAAGGTAGCCATTCATATTTGGTGTCTGATTCAGCATAATAATCAAAACCATTTCTATACTCAATGCATGTCTCTAGCATCCGATAGGTCGAACTCCACCTTGTTTTAACATCAATAGACAACCCTCTACCAACTTTAATTGAATAAGTGTTGCACACACCCACAAACTTATACATACGGGCTGGAGACTTCTTAAAGTACTTCACAGTGTTCCTAACATTGGTTATCAAAGATTGAATTTGTTGCAGGCCATCATTAACAACCAAATTAACTATGTGGGCAGCACAACGAACATGGAAATAATCTGGATCAAACTGAGCATTCTTTCTAGCAGCAAGCTTAGACTTCAAATTTGAAACAGCGGTGTCATTGTTTGAAGCATTATCAAGGGTTATTGTCATGACCTTGTCCTCTATTTTCCAATCAACCAAGCAATCAAAAATAGCTTGAGCTATGACAATACCGGTGTGAGGAGGCTCCACCTCAACAAAGTTTAGGACACGGCATTGCAAAACCCAATTAACATCTATGTAATGAGCCACCAAACACATATACTGAAGGTTTTGATTTGATGTCCACATATCTGTAGTTAAACTTATGGTCTCAGCCTCCCTAAGACTTTTCCTGAGATGTTCCTTTTCAGATTCATACAATTTCATGCATTCACTTTTTATGGCCTTGCGACCAATGAATTCATAGCTAGGATTCATCCACTTCATCAAGGCATTAAACCCTTTATGCTCAACAATTCTAAATGGGTAATCATGTAGAATTATCATACGGGCAATCAAAAGTTTAGTGTGATCATGATCATACTCAGTAGGATGCACAACCATAGAACCATCAGCTAAAGGAAAATCAAGTGTACCTTGAGCTTTAGCCTTTGCAAGCTTGTTCAGATATATTGTGCACTTATCTAAGTGACGATTTAGTGTTGTAGTGGTTCCCCCAGGGCGATATGCATAGTTGTGATGACAAAACCTACACTTTGCCTTACATTCCATTTTCCCTTTTTCCTTCTTGGAGGGAACATTGATCACCTTATAATATTTCCAACAACTAGCACGCTTTCCTCTTGTTATCTTAACTTTAGAAGGAGATAGTGAAATACCTGCCTTTGGCCTTTTTGCACCTCGTTTTTGAGTCTTTGATGTGTCATCTCCATCCTCTCCCTCACTGCTGCTTCTTGACGAAGGTAGGCTCACCGACATCTCATCATTCAAGTCAAAGCTGTTTTCTTCATCCTCCCCTCCATCTGAAATGGCCACCATGTCCATTTCCTGCACAAATTCAATTCATACACACACAAACTGATTACTAGCTGCTAGCTGCCTTGGTAGTAGCCTAGTAGGTATAGCGATTCATTCAAAGCTAAATGCAAAATTCACAGTGGTATAAATCAAGTGATTGTGGAATTTAGATACATACCACGGTCGTGGACACATTAGCTCGTGATGCTGATGCCGGTGACGGCGATCCAATTGCCCCACTTGCGATTGCGGTCCTTGCGGTTGCGGATCCTCGACTACGGCCAACCTTGGTTTGAGCAATCCGTGCGGAGCGTGTACGTGCCGCTGCACCTGCACCTGTAGCTGCCGACGAGGTTGGCTTCGCGCTCGCGCATTTGCTCTGGGATTCCACGCTTGGTGGTTGCGGGTGCGGCGCCTCCTCCATGTCAGTAAGCAGCGGCGTGGAATGTGGATGGCGAGATGGCAGCGTCGAGTTCCTTCAGTGGACGGCGGCGTTGAGTTGCTTCTCAAACGCGTGGCGCCGGCGGCTGGCGGGTGGCTGGTGGCGGCGCTTGGCGGTGGTGGCGGCTGGCGGCGGCGCTTGGCGGTGGTGGCTGGCGTCGGCGCTTGGCGGTGCCGGCAGGCGGCGGCACTTGGCGGTGGTGGCTGGTGGCAGCGCGTGGCGGTGCCGACTGGTGGCAGCGCTTGGCGGTGGCGGCTGGCGGCGGCGCCTTGCGATGGCTGGCTTGGCGGCTGGCGGGTGGTGCCGTGCAGCCGTGGGCCCGTGGTGGTGGCTGGCGGGCTGGCGGCGGCCGGCGGGGAGCCAGGGAGGAGAGTCGGTCGGAGACGAGAACGAGAGAAGGGGAGGAGACGAGATCGGCCGCCAAGCCAGATCGGGAATTGGGGAATGGGGAATTGGGGATAGACTGGGGTCTGGGGCTCTGGGCGTCAGGCCGTCTGGGAGTACTAGGGTTTTCGGCAGGCGGCAGGCCGGCAACCGAGTTGGGCTGTTGGGCTGGGCCTCCATTCTCATCTGCCCTGGCTCGTTAAGGCTCGCGAGCGGCTCGCGAGCCAGCTCGAGCTGGCTCGTTATCTCTAACGAGCTGAAATGCAAGCTCGGCTCGTTAGGAAAACCAAACGAGCCGAGCCGAGCCAAGCCGAGCTTCTCACGAGCCGAGCGAGCTAACGAGCCACGAGCTTCCTGGCCAGCCCTAGTTTCCGCCTGCACGGCTGGCCTATTATGCCGCCGTTGTTGGGCGTCTACGTCTTCACCGACCGGCTTGCCTTCGCCGCCGCCGACTGGTGTTTCCGCCTGCACGGCTGGCCTTTATACCGCCATTGTTGGGCGTCTACGTCTTCACCGACCGGCTTGCCTTCGCCGCCGCCGACTGGTGTTTCCGCCTGCACGGCTGGCCTTTATGCCGCCGTTGTTGGGCGTCTACGTCTTCACCGACCGGCCGCCTCGTCCGCCGCCGACTGGTGCTTCCGCCTGCACGGCTGACTTATTATGCCGCCGTTGTTGGGCGTCTACGTCTTCACCGACCGGCCGCCTCGACCGCCGCCGACTGGTGTTTCCGCCTGCACGGCTGGCCTTTATGCCGCCGTTGTTGGGCGTCTACGTCTTCACCGACCGGCTGCCTCGTCCGCCGCCGACTGGTGTTTCCGCCTGCACGGCTGGCCTATTATGCCGCCGTTGTTGGGCGTCTACGTCTTCACCGACTGGCTTGCCTTCGCCGCCGCCGACTGGTGTTTCCGCCTGCACGGCTGGCCTTTATGCCGCCGTTGTTGGGCGTCTACGTCTTCACCGACCGGCTTGCCTTCGCCGCCGCCGACTGGTGTTTCCGCCTGCACGGCTGGCCTTTATGCCGCCGTTGTTGGGCGTCTACGTCTTCACCGACCGGCTTGCCTTCGCCGCCGCCGACTGGTGTTTCCGCCTGCACGGCTGGCCTTTATGCCGCCGTTGTTGGGCGTCTACGTCTTCACCGACCGGCCGCCTCGTCCGCCGCCGACTGGTGCTTCCGCCTGCACGGCTGGCCTTTATGCCGCCGTTGTTGGGCGTCTACGTCTTCACCGACCGGCCGCCTCGACCGCCGCCGACTGGTGTTTCCGCCTGCACGGCTGGCCTTTATGCCGCTGTTGTTGGGCGTCTACGTCTTCACCGACCGGCTGCCTCGTCCGCCGCCGACTGGTGTTTCCGCCTGCACGGCTGGCCTTTATGCCGCCGTTGTTGGGCGTCTACGTCTTCACCGACCGGCCGCCTCGTCCGCCGCCGACTGGTGCTTCCGCCTACACGGCTGACTTATTATGCCGCCGTTGTTGGGCGTCTACGTCTTCACCGACCGGCCGCCTCGACCGCCGCCGACTGGTGTTTCCGCCTGCACGGCTGGCCTTTATGCCGCCGTTGTTGGGCGTCTACGTCTTCACCGACCGGCTGCCTCGTCCGCCGCCGACTGGTGCTTCCGCCTGCACGGCTGACTTATTATGCCGACGTTGTTGGGCGTCTACGTCTTCACCGACCGGCCGCCTCGACCGCCGCCGACTGGTGTTTCCGCCTGCACGGCTGGCCTATTATGCCGCTGTTGTTGGGCGTCTACGTCTTCGCCGACCGGCCGCCTCGTCCGCCGCCGACTGGTGTTTCCGCCTGCACGGCTGGCCTATTATGCTGCCGTTGTTGGGCGTCTACGCTTTCACCGACCGGCCGCCTCGTCCGCCGCCGACTGGTGTCACCGCCTGCACGGCTGGCCTGTTATGACGCCAACTGATGCTATCTTCTTCACGGCTGGCTACATCACCATCACCGCTAATAAGCATCATCATCTTCAACGCAAGCTGTCTACATCTGCTGCTGACTAGTGCCCTCACCTCTACGTCTGGTTTAGACAGCTACCACTACTGATGGACATCATCGTCTTCCGTTGCCGACTGGTTATGCCGCCGCCGACTGGTGCTTTTATCTTCACAACTGCGCGTCTTCGCTACCAGTTTGCTTCTGTTGCCGCCGACTCGTGTTCACTTCATCACGGCGATGCAACTTTGTCATCATGGTGGAGCGACTTCATCTTTATTATCTTCGTCACTGGCAAACTCTATTGCTGCTACTTCGCAAGTTTTGCTACTTCACCAACCACGACGTCTTTGTGAACCTCGACATCTCGGCATGCGATGCCGTGTTATTTTACTACAACAAGTGGCTCTCCAATATTCAGGATTTCTACTTGGACATCTTCAACACATATCTTCAATCAAGCAATGACTATTCGATGACAAGAAGCTACAGTTCTCGACTCTATGTTTAGTTGTTTCCCAACTAATCAAAGAGTCGGGGGCTACACAAATACAAGGCTCAAAATTTGACAAATTTTATGTCAAGCTGAAGAAATCAATTCATCAACCCACGAGTCAACTCCAGGAGTCATTATCTTCATCTTTGCTTCGGAGCAGACATTCTACTTCAACAACTTCAAATATTTCGCACCTCTGCTTCATCGACCCTGACATCTCTGTTGTTGCTAATGGATGATTATGTTTTCGCCGACTTATTATTTCACCTTCACGGTTGACCTACTATGCAAATGCTGATGAGCGTCTTTGTCATTATCATTGGTTGCTACACTGCTATTGGCTGGATCACCGACATCGTCATCTTCATCATGTCGGTTGCGTTTGTCGTCGTCAAGTATTTTCTTCATCTTCATGATTGGTGGATTTCGTCATCGTCTTTGATGCGTGTCTACATCTTCACCGTCGGCTTGCTTTCATCACCACCGACTGATTATTTCGTCGCCGCCGACTGCTCTGTCATTGTTGTTGGGGGCCTTCATCTTCATTGCTAGCTGACCTGATTGCTGCCGACTGGTTTCTTCGCCTCTGCGGCTGTGCAACTTCATCACTTTTGATTGGAATCACTATCTTCACTACCACTAATATTTTTGCCACCTCTGCTAGGCAATGTTATCTCTATATTGGTCGTCTTGTCTCTATGCCAACTGCGTCAGCTACCATCAATGGACTATTATGACTACGACAGAAGGACAAGCTATATGATCAGGGGCTTACTAGATCAAACACAAGTATCATACCTTCAATTTGGACTTGTTCCGGATACATGCAACATGAATTCATGATCATGGGTCTATTTTCTATGCTCAAAGACTGGACTATTTATTATTCCCCGTAAGGGTTATCAACTGAATACTTGCACCAGTCGGGATTCAATTGTTACATCTATTTTGGAGTATCCCATAAGGGATAACCACTCAGATCAGAAGCTATTCATATGAGCTACATTTGGTCTATAATACCTGGAAGATTTATTACTCGGGAGCATGTTACATGCGTCATCCTTTAAAGGGTGTCGAAGGCATATTTTTTGGCCTAGGCCTAATATGTCTGCAGCCCATATTTTCAGGTGTGGCCTGTCACGTTCTTTTAGGGACTTAGGCACTTTTTGCTTAGGCCAAAGTGCGCGTGATCAAGTGCCCAATACCTTAAAATCCTTTTATACCACAGTTACTTAACTTTTTAGGAGTTGGTACAATGCATCTTAAAAGGTGTCAAACAGTAAAGCTTTATATAGCTGGCCCGCTGACTTTTTTATATAGTCATGGTGCTGTTTGGGTTTTTAAGCAATTGATTGGATACAATATCATTGCTTTTTGCCACGTAAGTGTGCATTTTTATTGACCAATATTATGGCTTAGGCTGATTATATATTGTGGTCATTTTTCAGGCGGTTGGTAAATCCTTTATGAGTTTATTTACTCGGATTTTATACCACATATGCCATATATTTCCAGGTGTGGTGGAACCATGTGTCTTCTAGGGACTTAAGCACATCTGTTAAAGCAGTGTGCGTATGGCGTATGCCCAATACTTTGGAAATTTCTTTATTCACAACATACAAGCTTCTTTATAGCTATTTTGCTATGTGAATTTTCAATGATGTAGCCAACTTTAGGTTACACTCATCATATTTTACAAAGCAGTCGGTATATCACTTGGATCATATTATTCAGGGATTCACACCGCATATGCTACATATTAATATTAAGTCGCTTGGTTGACTACAATTATCGAAACCACTCGGTGCATCTAGTCGATGCACCTGACTTTATTTTTTCAGCCCTCCACAGTCTTCAGATTTGGTAAAAATACTCGGGAGACCATGGCAAAGATGATTGAAGTACTCGGTTTTGGAGTAATCTAGTTCGAGAGAAGATTATCTTTTCGACTGTGAAGGTCTCAGGGGCTACTGTGGAGATTATGGGTACCCCATACCCACACGGCATGGTTATCCGACTAGTTATAGGGGATAACTTATATATATGAAATATGTAACAGATTATGACTTGGGTATTACGTTTCCCTGTATATTATGGAACGGCCTAAAGTCCTGATTTGATAAGATTGTAAAGTAGATTTAGGAAACCGATACCGTGTTGGTTAAGGTTTCTATCTTGTAATCCTGCCCCCCATCCTATATAAGGTGGGCAGGAGGCCCTCTAGGGGGCATGACACAACTAGATCGTCAGATCAATACACACCCGGCGGATTCAAATCCCCAAACAGGAGTAGGGTATTACCTCTCATTGAGAGGGCCTGAACCTATCTAAATCCTTTGTCTCCGCATCCATCCACTTTTAGGGCTCGTGCGCTACCCCTTTTATTATTGCCGAAATCTAGTTTCGACATCTATTCTACAATATCTTTTTGAAACCGTTACTCTACAATATCTGGCAAAGCTAACAGCATTCGATCCATACATCAATGCCCACGTATTAGTAAAGTTATATGGGATACCAGCTAGCCAGGCATATGCTTGTTTTTGGCTGAAGAAAACAGAGTCATACAGAATTGCACAAAACGCAAATCACTTGCTGCATGGCACTGAAAATGCAAATCTGATCGAATTCAAAAGGTACACTGAATTGCACATCCATATGTCTCATATACTACTGTGATTTTCATCTATCGGAACAACAGCTTACAAAGGTGAAGTACCGAACAAAATCGAGGATAGAAATAACCAAAAATTACATCAAAACAATCGAGAGGAGATACTCATGTACATATATATTATAGACACAGAACAATCAATTGGTTTGAAGGACTTATTAACTGGGGGATAAATTAATTGACGATCAGGTAGAATCAATACTCCTACTACATGCAACGACGATTCGAGAGGGCATCTCGAGCTTTTGTATGCATTCCATGCATCTCGCTGGCCAATCTTTCTCCTTGCTGTGTTTTCATCCTCGTTCCGGTGTGACGACATCAGGTAATTGAAGCCGTCGATCTTGAAGCCCAATTTTATTCCTCGAAAGAGAAAGTAAACCGAGCAAGAAGAATAAACGGGGGGACGTACGAAAAAAGGAAACGGAAAAACTCGTGCTCTCCCTGTCGCCTGCGTTGTTTGTGTGTACAGCAGCAGCTAGCACCATGGATGGGTTCCTGAGCTTGGTTGGGGGTTCTGCTTTATTATGCGGGGAGGTAGGACGGCGGCATCGGCAGGCCGACGACCTTGCCGCAGCGGAGGGCTATCTCCGGCATGTTGTACTCGTCCCGGAGCGACCTCGCCGGCGATACCACGCTGACGTACAACTGCGCCCCGAGGTAGTACCTCTCCCACATGTTGGACCTGATGTTCCACATCCCCGCGTTGTCGAACGTCAGCATCACCGCCGTCCACGACCTCGGGTACACCTGGATCGTGTGCCGGCTCACCGTGTCCAGCAGGTTGTACGTCTTCCTGCACTCCGGCGTCCATATCCCCGGCCCCATGCTGCACGCACCCACACATCCATATATTCATGCATGGCGATGGCGATCGATCACCAAGAACGGAGCGAGCATGGAACTTTATACGTTTGTGCATGTGTTTACCCGGCGGCGAAGAAGGCGTAGCCGTTGATGTGGAAGGAGTCGATGCTCTTCTCGGGGTTCTCGAAGACGACCTCGATGAAGGTGCGGAACTCGGCGGAGATGACGTTGGGCGCGAGCTTCTGCGGGACGGTGGTGGCCGGCGGCACGTCGCCGATGAGGTTGTACTCGAACACCCCGGAGGAGGCGTTGAAGTACTCGGCGAGCTTGAGCGGCGTCTGGGCGTCGTCGACGTGCGACACGCCGTTGAGGGCGAACCGCTCCTTGCCGTCCACCTTCCCCTTGCTGGTGCAGAGCTTGATGGTGCGCGTGATGTTGATCTGCCCGTAGTGGTAGGACCCCTGCGGGTTGGGCCGCGCCGCGCTCGCCGTCAGGTTCCAGCGGAACGACCTCCACTGGTTGATGGACCACGCCCACCCGCTCGGCCCCTCCGGCAGCTTGGGCGACGCCGGCGTGTTCGACCCGTTGTACCGGACGATGGCGGTGATGGCGCTGTACTCCTTCAAGAAGCGGGTGGAGGCCACGAGGAGGTAGTCGCCGGGCTTCTGGTCGGCGGTGACGAGGAAGGAGACGCACTGGGCGACATGCACGTCCAGCGAGTCGTAGCTGTTCTGCACGGTGTGCGAGCCCTCCATCTCCACGAGCTTGAGGCTGTGGCCCTGGATGCGCACGTTGAGCGACGTCTTGATCCCCACGTTGCAGACGCGGAACCGGTACACCTTGCCGGCCTCCATGGTGTACATGGGCGGGTTGGACGCGTCCTTCTCGTTCTTGCCGTTGATGACGAGACCCGCCGGCCGGCCGATGCTCTTGCCGGCGTCGAGGTTCTTCGCCAGCACGGTGTGGTCCTTGGTGTACCAGTCGCCGACGAGGACCGGGTAGTCGCCGGCCGGCTCGTCGAAGGGCACCGGGATGAGCAGCCGGCTGTGCACGGTGATGATCCCGTAGCCGCCGGCCGCGCGCTGCATGCCCATGCTGGGGAAGTAGAAGAAGGTCCCGATCTGGTCCTTGGGCTGCCATTTGTACGTCCAGTTTGTGCCCGGCTGGATCGGGCAATTCGTCCCCGGCATTCCGTCCATCCACGAGTTCTTCCTCTGTTGGATCCCGTGCCTGGATCGCGTCGCATTGCCACGTACATACCAAAATGATCGATCAGCTCAACATCAATAACGGATCGATGTATGCATGCATGTATACCAATGTACGTATACGTACCAGTTGAAGAGGAGGGGATGGTCGAGCTGGTTGAAGACGTTGACGACGATGTTGTTGTTGGAGCTGCAGTTGATGGTTGGGCCGGGGAACATGTCGTTGATGAGCATCACCTTCTGGGCCACGTCCATAATCGTCCTGGTCCCGTACGTCACCTTCCAATCGAAGAAGTGGTACGGGTCCTCGGCGCGCACGGCGGCGAGGACCGCCGCCGCCACCAGCAGCAGCGCGGCGGAGGCGCGCATCGTTGTCATCGGTCGGGGGGAGAGCACGCACGCGCGCGGTCACTTGTTGCACTGATCCTCCCGTACGTACGTGTGTGTGGCACCCCCTCTCGCCGGAGCGGGCAGAGAGAGAGAGACACCGAGAAACGGCGGCCGGTCTCAGGTGGGTGCGAGACCGGTGCGGAGAGAGGCAGGGTGGGGGTGTGTACGGTGGTGGGGAGGGGAGGCGGGAGGAGGCGTGGCTTATATGCGTGGAGCGGCCGCGGGAAGGAGCGGTGCCCGCGAGAGCGCGCCGGACGTGTCCGTGGCGCGCCTCCGTGGGCGGGCGGATGGACGGCTTTCGCCCCAACGGCCGCAACGCCCGCGCGTCCGCTCGCCTCGGCACCGCCGGGGGCTCCCCCCCAACCTTTGACTCGTTCCTCCGCCGCATGCATGCATGCACGCACGCACGCACGCCACGTCGGTGCTGGTCGCCGCGTGGGACGAGATGGTTCTTGGTGTCTGGGCCGGCCCGTTCGGCCTTGTCCATGAAATGTCTCGATAGTTGGGCCTTTTGGGCTGATTTACCCCTAGTGGGAGAGGCACACTAGCCCTCGCAGGGAAGTAGCTGACGGCGCGAGGGGAGAGGCAGAGACGGGAGGTGGGGGAGTGGAGTGGAGAGGAGTAGAGCCGAATCCGCGGCGGAAGTGCACGGCGCTCCGCGCCACCGCCGGCCGAGCCCGCGCTGAAATCCGCGAGCGGCGAGCGGCGCACAGGTGCGCTGCATTTCTCCCTGTTCTCGCAATCTCGCTAGTGTAATCCATGCCCTAAGTCTTCGAACTGCGTCGGGCTCAAACTCAGTAATATAGGAGTATGAATTTCTGTGATGTTGTTTGGAGGTCGATGTGTTCGTGAATGATTTGTTTTTCTTTTTTCCTTCACGGGATGAATTCCTGGTCGCTGTTGGTTATTCGGAACTCGGAAGGTGACCTATGATTTTAGAGAACTGGGGAATTTTGGGAATTGTAATCCTTGATTCCTTGAGAAACAATGTGTGCAATAGGAGCAAGGATCAAGGAAACTAGTGCGTAAAAAACGTCGTGCCTTAGAGAGAAATCGAGCGATTCCTTCTGAAGTTTTTAGTGCTTTTTCATTACTTAATTTCAGGGTTGGAAGGGTCTTCCACCATGTTGGTATTACTGCTGCTTGTGCTGGTTGCAACCACCAAACCAAAATACGGGTGCACGGTAGTTGCCCCTGCATGCTCAAACTCTGTAGCAGATGGTTGCGTCGTCAATAGCTAGGTCGATGATGCATTGCAGGCCATAGTAGTCGTAGTTGCTTGCATCTATTGCCATCCTGAATTCCCGATCAATAAATCTGCCCTTCGCTAGGGGAAGCCTTCTGCTTAGTAGCTCAAGCATGACAGACCCAAAGCTGTACAGCTCACTCTTCTGTGAGAACTGCTGTGTCATGTCTCAGGTTCCAAAAGGAGGAAGCCAAAACTAGGGCCTCAGCGGGAGTGAAACACCTAGCACTTTTAATTCCTTAGGCCTTTCCCCTTTTGTACAGTTCTTTCTTTTCTGTACATCAGTACATGTAACTTTTACTCCTCCTATATTCAATGAAATTGGCGCAAACTGTGCTGGTTCGTTCACAAAAAAAAAAGGTTCCAAATGACCCTTTTTGGTGTCTGCAACTAGCTTCGACAGACCAAAATCAGCAACCTTTGCTTTAAGGTTGTCATCCAAAAGGATATTTGTTGACTTGGCGTCTCTATGGATAATAGGCAGATTGGTAAGTTCATGAATTATTCTAGTCCTCTGGCTACGCCAAGAGCAATCCTGAGCATCCCTTTCCATTCCAGATAAATTTACTTGCTGCAGAATACAGAATGCGGATAGTTAAGAAAGAAATGTGCAAAAAAGTACATAACGATATGTTCAGGAAGTAAGAATAGGTCAACCGATCCATGCTTGCATATACCTCATGAGAACCAGCTGCAGCTTTGGTTTCAGAGCTGGAGGAAAAGTGAAGGGCAATGGAAAGGCAAGACAACCAAGTTGTATAAGGATAACTGACTCTCACACAGATGTTATTTCTTAAACCTTCCTATGCAGGCTGTTCCGAAATGTAGTTATGTGAGAACCTTCTCATGTCTTAACTCTGCTTTAATCTTTGGTGACCTGATATGAAATAAAATTTTCATATGTGCTTGGGACAGATGGTTCTTCGTTTTTTCTTTTATATGTGTGTGTGTGTGTGTTGAAATATGTTCGTCTGCACATGTTTATAGTGATGAAAATGATGCTTGTTACCTTATATTGGAATATATATTTCTTGTTAAGTAGTCAATAAAATCATATTCCTTTTGTCACAGCATATGTTAGTGTGGACTGGAATCTCGATGTCAATGAAAGGTACTTCCTTGTTTTAACCGTTAAGAGGTAAAGTTCCTGTATCATTAACTTTGAGAATGCAGCTTTGAATTATCTCATTTCCTTGATTGGGTGTAAGGTTGCCTTAATTTAGCACAATAGACATTTTCAGTGGGGATTAGAATTCAACCTGTACTTTTTTTCTCCCAGAAAAGGCACACTGAGCAGTTAGCACGCGTTGTGATGGATAAATAGTAATGGAACTGAATCATCTTTTCAATTGGTAATTCAATCTAAAAAATGATGTTTCCTATGTACAAGGCAGCATCTTCTGAACCATGACACCACCAATTAAAATAAATTCTAAATAAATGTTTCTCTCACTAATCCTATCTTGTATCCACAATGAGAGCATTTTCACAGCTATTCATTAATCCCATTGGCCAATCAGAGGCTGTTATTGTTCCAACTGTTGTCATTAATATTTAACTTTTATGCTATGAAAGGGCATCATGTTGATGTAGGATTGTTTAGAGAAAAATTAATGAGGTGCACCTGGTAACTACTTGAGTTAAACATCAGTGGAAACATATCAAATTACAAAAACAATATTTATCTTGACATGCATGCGAATGGTCAAAAAATATATTTATTTTGGGTTTTCAATGAAGAGAATGACAAGAATGATTCTATAGAAAGATCATCCTCTGCTGTTTCATCTGGCCAGTGTATGCTTATAAAATATCCAGACCTTGGTTTTTATCAACACAAAAAATATGATATTGTAGACTACATATTGTCCTTTACAATGAGTAGGAGATAAGCAAAACCAATACATCATATCTACTTTGGTTCAACAACTGAGTATGAATATACACTGTTGTAATCAAAAGCACTGCTGCTGCTGTCATCATTGATAGGCACATGATCTCCATAAGGATCTGGATCTCTACCCTTTGCATATCCAAACTGCTGAGCCGATAAAGATGCTGAGTTTAGCAACTGTGCCCCTTCATTTTGTATTATAATCTCAAGTTCCTTCACCACATCATTCATTGTCGGGCGGTCAGCAGCAGACTCCTCTACACATTCCATAGCCAACTGCACAAATCTCCTAAAGCCAACCATTTTTGCTGAATCCCGGATTGTTGGATCAATTAGGCTCTTCAATCCGTAATACTCTTGGTCATACTGATCTATTGCTGTCCTGATCTCACGGACAATATATGTGCCTTTCTCTATGGGCTGCCTGGACGTTATCAGTTCTAGCATGACAACTCCAAAGCTATATACATCACTCTTCTCAGATAGCTGCTGAGTCATGTAGTATTCAGGATCCAAATAACCCTAGATATCAACACAGAAGAGTAATCAACTAGAAATATTTTTTTGTCAATAAAAGTTATGCATTTTGAAGTTCCAGAAGTACATACCAGTGTGCCCTTCACTTGGGTAGAAACATGGCCCTTTTTTGTGTCAGATACCAGCTTTGAAAGACCAAAATCAGCAACCTTTGCATTTAGACTTTCATCCAGAAGGATATTGGTTGATTTGATATCTCTATGGATAATTGGTGGATCAGCAAGTTCATGAAGATACGCTAGACCTTTAGCAGAGCCAACTGCAATTTGAAGGCGTTTCTTCCAATCCAAGTGCATTCCTCCTTTACCTGCAGTTAAGATGTGGATGAACCCCCATGTCCTTTTGTTGTAGCATGTATTAATTATGTAAATAGGTTATAAATGGGGGTAGTAGTGGTGATGAAGTTTGAAAAGTATACCCTTCAGATTCTCCCTTAAGGTCCCATTAGGAATGTACTCATAAACCAACATCTGCTCCCCTTGTTCATAGCAGAAACCTACTAAGCTCACCAGGTTCTTGTGATGAACCCTGGAAAGTAGTTCTATCTCATTCTTAAATTCAGCTGCACCTTGCATAGATCCTTGCTGTGCGCGTTTTATTGCAGCCATTTGCCCATTTGCGAGCATTCCTTTGTACACCTTTTAACAGAAAAGATAATAGATTAATTGCTTTTGGAAATCCTTATTTCTTTTTGTGACTATACTAGCATGGAAATTCATTCACCAATATACCTTCCCATATCCTCCTGATCCTATTTCTTGGGTTTCTGAGAAATTGTTTGTGCACCTCTTCAGTTCCTCAAATGCAAAGTATCTTGCTCCCTTCAGCTGTGGCACATCTCCATTATCTTTACCACCTTGTCCCCATGATGCTGTGGCACCAGAGCATTCACTAGCACAGATTAGCAATCATGCTTAACACTTCCCTATTGGATGGATACTGAATGATGAAATAACACATTACCAAAAGGATTAGTAGTTCGTTCTACTGCCTCCTTAGCTATTTTTTTCTGCCTTAGAGCATACATTGCTACTAGGATAAGGCCAACAAGAAGGAGAAAACCAGCAACCGCTATTCCGATTATTGCACCTTTGCCCATTGACGACCTTTTACCACTGGGGCCTGAAATGAATGAGTTATGTAATGTTTGAAAATAAAGCAAACTAAAGAAATTGCAGACCTAAGCAACGCCATACTTGCAAAATATGTGCTTGCTATGAAGCTATATGGTCCAAAATATGCTGGAGCTTTGTAGGTTTGGTTGACCAAAGAAGAACTGATTCTGATAACCTCTGAGTGATTGAAGCTTGTTCCGCTCTCTGGAAAAACCTTCACTGTGAATGTTAGTGGCTCCCCTGGACTGAACTCAACATTGGAAATGGCAACTGATCCTGGAGCTAGGCTAAGGTTCTGAACAAGAGTAAATTCCAAAGGTTGGAATGACTTGGGATTGGTCACATCAGAGAAGGCTGGTGCTCGGAAGATCATCAAACCCTGGAAGGGGCTGGCGCAAGCACAGTTCTGTGAAGCCACCGGATTTGCTGACTGGTCAGTGGGGCATGAAATGGCACCACATGGACCTAGGTTTGTTGAGTATGGCACTTGCTGCTTTTGCTTGAGTGTGCAGAAACTGATATTGTTGAAGCATATAAGATTGCCTGATAGTCTGGACAAGGAAAGAATACGTTGGGTGAGAATGCATGCACTCACTTGTACACCCTTATACAGTACAGGATGATGCTTACATGAGGCTGCCGGTGTAGCTTGGGTCAACTTCAGCATTGAAGATCTGATTGTTTGTCAAATTAACAACCCGCAGTAGTGAACTGATGTTACTGCTCATATTAAGTTCCCCACTGAATGAATTCTTAGCTAATGATCTGCATTCCAATTTATAACATCAGAAGGCATAAGTTCACTGAAGTTAAACTTTTAGCTAGAGATGCTATCAGAGAGCTGTAGCATGATCCATGAGGAAATTACATTTGCTGCAATTGCGGGAAACTGAACAGGGCACTGGGGATTGTTCCAGTAAGATGATCACTATCCATAAATCTGTAAGTTGTCAACAGGAATAGAAACATTAATTGTGATGTATCTTACTAAGTCCATTTGATACTCACTGTTTTTTCGTCATCAGACAACTCACAAGGTAGTCAAGGATGTTAATGTTGAAAACCATCGCGGTGCTGGTGAGCTCATGAAGTTATTGTTGCTTAGGTCCCTGTAAAAAGGAAGAAAATTTCCCATAACTCAAAGAATCATTAACCTTAAATGCTCATATACTTTCTTCCTTACACATAAGTGAGAGCATTTGCACTGGTGAGGTCTGGCACTGTCCCATTCAGTTGGTTGCTTGCTAAGCTCCTGCAAAAACAAAAACAAATATTTGCAATGTTGTTTCCAGGAATAAGAAATATTTGTTGATGTTCCTTGATGGTAATCACTTACAGTTCCATCAGACGAGATAGGTTTGCTATACTTCCTGGAACTGGACCACTGAATTGGTTATGATCTAGTCGGCTGTTGCAATAGGCAGGAAAAAAAAAACATGAAACTGTTCAAAGGGGGTCAAAACATAGGGTAAATCATATTACGAGGTACTTACATAATTTGAATTGATGAGACTCTCCCGAGAGATCCTGGGATTGGTCCAGTAAAGTTATTGTTGTCAAATATCCTGACAATTATTACTGAAGGCAGTGAGGTGATGGCAAGATGATACTACCAAGCACAAACAAACAGTGTGCAGCTTACACGTGTATAAGGTTCATTTTTTCACTGAAAAGCTTTTCGTCAATTGGGCCTGTCAACTGGTTCTCACTGAAATGGCTGTTGATTGGAAATGTATGAGTCATATGAGGATACCATACATTTAAGCAGCAGTATATCTTGATTCTTTTGTTCTAGAACTGGTACACCATTTGAGAACTTACAAATGTTCTGCATTAACAAGCTGATCCAGCCCTGGGTTTGAACCTGATGAAACCGGTATTTTCCCCGACAGCTGATTGTCTGACAAGTCCAACCAAAAAAGCTTAGAGAGAAGGCCAAGTGTTGGGGGGATTCCACCAGTGAACTTATTTGAGTTCAGGGCCCTGCATGAGAGCATTTCTTAGGCTAAAGTAAATCATATCGTGAAGAGATTGATGTCCATTCAATATATCTGCCCACGTTTGAGTTGTTTCTTACAGGAATGTGAGTTGCCTTAATGCTCCGATCTGCTCTGGAATATCACCAGTGAAACTGCATCCAAGTAAAATCCTGACAAAACCAAGATATAAATCAGTGTTTTCCCCTATTTTTCTTAGTCCTCTCCACAGACCAAAAAGGAAGAAATGTTTTCTTATAGTGACATGCTGTTCTTACAGAGTTGTGAGCTGCTTCAGATTCACAATGCTTGGAGGAAGTGGACCTCCAAGATTTAGGTTGTTAGACAGATCCCTGGATGTAGTTTATTTTACATCAGGAGCATAAAGCATTTTGCAGTGTGGTAGTTTGTTCAAAACTCAGTAAGCAGGGACTTACAGATATGTCAAAGAAGAAAGTTGGTCTATTGCATTGCTTAATGTGCCTTGCAGATTAATGCCTGATAATCTCCTGTAAATACCAGGTTTCGGTGTAGTTCTTGTCTCAAAAATAAGTACAAATATGATGAATCGAAGTTGATCACTCACATTTCTGTCACCCTCCCATTGGAACAGGAAATTCCATCCCAGGAGGTGCAGGGATCAGTCGATCCCATCCAGCTTTGCGGTTCATTCTGCCAATTCTTCATCAATGCCTGGAGTGCAGAAACTGTAGAATAAATGGAACAAATGTTAGTCAAGCAAAATGTGTCAACAACTCCAGTGGTTGATCCAAGTCATCTTGGCCTATTAGGTCAATATCATCCATTAGTTTATCATCATCATGGAAAATTTCACAGGAAAGTATGGTCCAGGAAAGCAGGGGCGAATCTAAAAACAAAAATTACCAGGTGTCCTGTATGAATCATGGATATAATACTATGTTTACATTCTAACATTAGCTAAAATTAATGGGATTCAAAAGTTCCGCCTGTCCTGTGCATCACATGGCTTTTTCATGGATTCGCTCCTGCAGGAAAGGAAGGAGTCATCTCTCTAAAATTATTGATCGTGCGTGCATGAGATATAGCTGTTGCAGCTCCCCTTTTCATCATGGGAAACTATTCTTTGTACATGACACTATGAATTTGGTCATAAAAAAAATCTTCCTAGGTTATTAGATGGAAATAACCAAATGATCACAATTTGTTGCATAACTACCCAAGGAGAACATAGTATTGATGGCAGAAGGCTATCTTTAAGGATTTTGTTTTTCTGTAGCATCTAGTCATTCATGCTCCACAAATAGATTCTTCTCTTGCTGTACTTCTGGCAGACCTAATCCTACTCACCTTGTTTTCAGGTCAATGGCCAGTCTGAGTGACAAATCCTGGAAAAGATGTCACCTTTCTTCCTGTAACCTATTGAAAAGCAGAAAGATCAAAGACTTACCATCTTGAGGATTTGTCTGACTGAAGCTTAGCCGTAGGCTCACCAAGAGCATGAACAGAAGTAGCAGCCACTGCATCTCCACCATCGTACCACACGGTGTCACCCTCCACGCAAATCAAATTCACACCGGAGGATAGCAAAATCTGCTGATTGTTCTTGTCGAAGAGCACTGTGCAGTGAACAAGCTCGAGTAGATGCCAAATGGCGTCTCCCTCCTTGAGGCTGGCAACCAGGCAAAGAAAATAGCTAATCAAACAAGACAACCTTATATAACTTGATTCAAGGGAATTCTTATCAAACATTGCCTATGAGAATGCTTACCAGGTCCAAGCAACATGCACATAGAAAATGCATGTATGCGTTGTAGTGGGAGGCTTAATTAAAAGAAACCTCTGAAGAGCTCAGTTGCTGATCAAAATGTGAAATGATTTAATAAACCGTTTACTTGCAGTTACTTCTTGCCTGTTTTATCTATGGAGCCTTATCTGGGAACACCTTCTGGGTTTTGATCCAGTCAGAACTTCTTGGTTTGGACGTTCTTGGCTTTTATACGTTTTTGGTCAGTATATTCTGTGCTTTTACTTAATTTATTTTTTTGATACGGCCATTGATTGGATATTTTTGTCCTGTACCTGCATGTCAGACACTGTGTTAATCGCTCAGGCTGTTCTTATCATATCTGTTTTCCCTTGTATAGTTGGGACCGTTGGAGCTGTAAACAACAGTTTTCAGGCTAAGTCAAAGTGCCTGCCAATGCCAACCTTTCTGATGGGATATGGCATCAGAAAATGGATCGACATATTATCCTAAGTAACTGCCTGTGAATGCTTCCATGGTTGGTCTTGTTTCAAATTTTCATCTTCCAGAAATTTGATTCAGAAAAAGCTCTAGAAATCTGATTGTAAGCAATAGAACATGAATATAAAATCTTGTTTTGCAGGCTTCTCAAGGACAGTGAAAGCTTTGGGTTATGTCAGCAGGAAGCCAAGATTTTGTAGAGGATTATGTTCTCCGCTGGATCCAACAAAGTAAACACCGAAAAATGATTCGGTGTGACATCATGCAACGCAAATTATGCAATTCACGGTCACATTCAGTGGGGCAGGAAGGCCAATTTCTGTTAATACATGGCCGGCCGGCTTCTTCCTTTTGTAGGTATTGTTAACAGCTTCATCAGGTAACATTAGGTGCACTATATACACAGCAAATGGCGGAGCCGGCGACACACGAAAAAGATCCTTCTGCATGAGGCCAAAACTCAATGGCACCCAGTTGCCTCTTGCTTCCTTCCACTGGCCAGCTGATATAATGCATTCGCATTTGTTTCGTCCATTGTTCTAATTGAAAATATAAGCCTGACGCAGTTGAGTTAGATGGCTTGGTGACAATCGTGCTCGTATGAAATGTACTGGTGTGAGAAAAATGTCTTCTTTTTTCTTCTGTGGGAGTAATCGGTCAAAGCGAACAACATGTCACATGTGCCGTTTACTTGGCAACTTAACTGCTGAAATGTTCTTCGGAGTTTAGTCTAATGATAAGCTGGTTGATATTCTGCAGCTGAAAGTATTTACTGAAAGGAATATGGAGTTCACAAGTTACTACATGCATGATATCATCTTCCCCGAGAGGACAAACTGAGATAGAATTACTGAAATAATTTCAGATTATTAGTATGTCCAGAGCAGTTGCTTGCTTCTTATTTTTATATGCGCCAATCATTGGCCTCGAAAGCTTTTGACAAACGGAGTGTGAATGTATGATCCTACGAAAGTGATTGCGAACAAACAGTTCAGGCTCTTCTGGTGAGGATCCTTTGCTTGCAATTTGTTTGGAGAATACTATACTGTAATATGCCCTTAGATCACGTTGGATGTGGCTTCAAATTGCCATTTGTTTGGAAAATATATAACTGTAATATGCTCTTGATCACGTTGGTTGTGGCTTCAACGTAAGCAACAGCACGGTAGCTGCGCTTGCTCGCCGCCTCCAACTCGGTCTAATTTGACAACTGGAGATTGCGTAAGATCAATTCAGAATCTTGCATCCAAAACTGAAGGAACGTTTCGTGTTGGCAACTTAGAACATGTTTGGCAGGGCTCCCGAACTCAGATCCATAGTGGATTTTGAAGATTGTATGTTAGATTATAGGGATCTTAAATTTTTAATTTTATTTAAAATATGAACAAAATGATTTAGCTAAGTGTTATCAACGTAATCGTAAATTTATATATCATTGGATTTCCGAAGTTAGGAATATCCAGCTTCAAGAAATCTTGAACAGGTTTAGTATCTACTCCATCCGTTTTATATTATAATTTGTTTTGACTTTTTTCCTAGTCAAACTTTATTAAGTTTGACCGAGTTTATAGAAAAATATATTAGTATTTTCAATACAAAACAGATATATTATCAAAATATATTCAACGTTCGATTTGATGAAACTAATGTAGTAACATCTAAAACACTAAATTAGTTTCATCAAATCGAGCATTGAATATATTTTGATAATATGTCTGTTTTGTATTAAAAATACTAATATATTTTTCTATAAACTCGGTCAAACTTAAAAAAAGTTTGACTAGGAAAAAAATCAAAACGAATTATAATATAAAATGGATGGAGTAGATACTAAACCTTTTCAAGATTTCTTGAAGCCGGATATTCCTAGCTTCAGAAATCCAATGATATATAAATCTACGATTATGTTGATAACACTTAGCTAAATCATTTTGTTCATATTTTAAATGAAATTTAAATTTTAAAATCCCTATAATCTAACATACAAAATTCAAATCCTGACCCCCTCCAGCCGGTGGAAGGGAGCGGCGCCCACAGGCCACCACCGTCTCTAGCGGCTGGCCTCCACCGGCTCTCCCATCTCCCCGCCGGTCTTCTCTAGCACCACCGCCACCGGTTGGCTCACATGGCCACTGTCGAGCTTGGCATGGAAGGGCTGCAAGAAGGATGAGGCCACACCATCGCTCCGCCTCTAGCCTCGAGGCCATGCCGCCACTCCTCCGCCTCCAGTCTGTGCCATCACTATGCATTGGGCCCACCTAGACGCCGCTCCGCCTTGGGCCGCGCTACTGCGGTCCACCCTCGAGTCGTTGTGTGCGTGTGTGGGAAAGGAGAGGGAGAAAGAAATGGAGAAGAATAAAGAGAAGTTGGCATATGGGCCCCACATGCTGACCCAGTCGGTTGGATCAAGTCAACGCACCACATCAGGAAAACAGTCTTCAAAACCACCAAGGGTGTCATTTTGCATCAGTTTTAATAGTTTAGAGATCGAGGTATCCAATATTACGGTTGAGGGACACAAATTAGATTAGAACTATATTTGAGGGAGTCAAATTGGACTTATTCCTCAAAGACGAGAAGATGAAGAGAAACTGGCCCAGGACCAGTGGGCCCAATTCCCGAATGGCCCGTGTGGGAGAAAGGAAATTCCTGATTTACAGTGATCCCAGTCACCCCGGTCTTCCCGGGAACTTCAAAATCTTTCCAAAAAGAAAAAAAAGGAAAAAAGAATTCGAACGCCGCCGCATCGATCCGGAGTGGTGTAGCACTGTGGTGTACCGCTCGCTCCATCGGATGGAGGCGGAGGCGGAGGCGGGCAGGCCGCGGCCGGCCATGTCGGCGGAGGACGAGAGGCTCCTCATGGAGGCGAAGTGGCTGCCGTGGGACGAGCGGCTCCGGCACAAGAGCTGGAAGGTGCGGCGCGACGCCAACGTCGACCTCGCCGCCCTCTGCGACTCCATCGCCGACCCCAAGGACGCCCGCCTCCGCGAGTTCGGTCAGTTTAGTTACACTCTCCCAGCGTCTCCCGAATCTTGCGCGATCGGATCCGCGTCGTCTGAACTCTGAAATGCATTCTAATTTGCCTTTTCTTTTCTTTTTTTTTTTTTGCGCCGGTGGTTAGGGCCGTTGTTTCAGAATTCCGTGGCGGATTGCAACGTGTCGGTGCGGGAGAAGGCGCTGGATGCCGTGCTCGCTTTCCAGCGGGCGTCCGATGCTGCTGATGCGTCCAGGTTGAGTGCGTGTTGGTCATGGCGTACGCTGCCGTGTCATTCGATCTCTGCTCGGTTCTACTACTTCTGAGTTGATGTGTGGGATTTGTTGGTTAATTTCAGGTATGCGAAGGGGATCTGTGATGCGATTGTCGCAAAGTGCCTCACCGGCCGTCCTAGGATCGTCGAGAAGGCTCAGGCTGCGCTCCTCCTCTGGGTGGGGTTGGACGCGGCGGAGGTTTTCGTTGTAAGTTCAACTAGAATGGATGATTATGGAGCATGATTATGATGAATCACCTGCATTAATTTAGCTCATAGGGATGGTGTGTGCCTGTGTGGTGCCACTCACTTGGTCTCCTACAATTTATACTGTAGATTCTAAGGTGTATTGTTCTATTTAGTTGCAGGCTTGCTTAGTGCTAATCGATTGTTATTCAATATCTAAAGTAATCAAAAGCTCCTCTCAACAGAGTTTTTCATTTAACTTACACCATATGCATTATAGCGACCGTCATGGTACTTTGGACGTATACTGGATCAAGTCGCACTATCATTTGGATGAAAATGATATATTGATAGAGAAATTTTACGATTTTTGATAAAGTACATGTTGGACATATACTGGATCAAATTGGACGTATAAATGTATAATGGATCTGCATTTTGTGCAATCGCATAATCCTAACGGCAATGCGATGTATAGATTTTAAGAGAGAAACTACCTTAAGCCATTGCTTTTAATTAGTATGTAGTACATTTCTAAACTATATTGAACTCATTGATGCATAAGCTTCATTTGGTATAATCTGTCATCATTTATTTGCCGATGCCTACTTACTCTTCTATATTTTGATTACGTCTTATTCCTTTCAATACTTTGATTTAATCATATTATTTGTAAGAGAAGGACTAATTTTGTTGTTATGATCATATCCTGATGCGAGGCAACAAGCCTGTGCCTTAGACCATCTTCTCTTTAAATTGCTTACTCAACCGATCTAAAGATTTTTCATCTCTTTGTATTACCACATTTTGCCTCTTGTAGTTATCGTCTAGCTTAAACGCACTTCATATTTTGCGCTATCAGGAATCAATGGAGAAGGCTGTAAAGAACAAAATGGCTAAAGCAGTTGTGCCTGCTATCGATGTAATGTTTCAAGCACTTAGGTAAGTTCCTACTTCCTAACTGTATTTCTGCCATCCTGTTATTTGTCTGTACCTTCATTAACATAATTTCTCCTACTAGTAAATTCGGACCTAAGGTAGTACCACCAAAAAAAGTATTGAAGATGCTTCCCCAGCTGCTTGATCATCCAGATCGGAATGTTCGGGCTTCTTCCAAGGGTTTGACAGTTGAGCTTTGTTGGTGGATTGGCAAAGAGCCTGTAAAGGCAATTTTATTTGAGAAGATTAGGGATATGATGGTAGGATATTTCATACCAGACCATTACTGATCATATATACCATGCGTGATAGTACAAGCACACTTCGTTCTGTTTGTAGATAAAAGAGTTGGAAGCAGAGCTAGCAAATAACTCAGCAATTGCTAAGCCAGCTCACAAGATAAGGTGATGCCCTTTTTTCTTTTTAAATTATGAGTTTCTGAATCTGTTTCTTTTTTGTTCTATCGTAAAATTTGTGATCTAATCTTTCCAGATAAACATGTGAATTATAGGTTCATACGGTGTTATGATTGTACATGGACGTTGATCGATGAGTATGATCTTGTTGATCCTGTACATACCTTAACACCACCTGAGGAGTCTGGATTCTGTGATGGTGTGGTATGTGCATCGGAACATTGTTCGTCACACTATTATAGTTAAATATCTTACTCTTTTTGTTGATATTGTTTTGTTTTTTGATACCAGAAAGCAACTAAGTGGTCCGAAAGGAGGGATGCTACGGAGCTAACCAAGCTTTCTTCAACAAAAAGAATTGCTACTGGTGATTTTGAAGACATCTGTCCAACACCCAAGAAGGTTAATCCTGGCTCGAAGTCTCTGTGCATTATGTACATTCGAATTTGCAGCCCTGTTGAGTTCATCCAAGTTTTCTTAAGTGTTAGTAAAAATCAACGTTGTTTCTGAATCATGATTCGCTTGTATCTCTCTTTTTTATACCGATGCCAATGTGGTTGCTTCAGAAGAAGCTACTCAAACAATAGGGAATGTAGCTAGCGGATTAAGAACTCAAACAATAGGGAATGCTTCCTGTTTTACTTGTAAGCATTATATAAATTTCAGTAACCATAAATTACCATTGAATTATTTGATTGCCTCACTGATAACCAACTTATTCATCTTTGTTTCTGAATTTTAGTTATAAGGTAACATGAAATTGTATCAATTTAAAAGTACAATTTAACCATTTAAATTATATAACTGGACCTCTAGCCAAACACGTTCGTTCCTTTGTGCTTATTATTGGGGAAGGGAGGAGCAACTTGCTCGTTTACCATTAACACACTTTCTAAATTGTTAAGTGTTCTTTTAAAAAATATATATACAAGTTTATGAAAAACTCCAAAAAAAAATCTATTTTCAAGTTTGAAATAGCTAATACTTAATTAAGCATGAACTAATAACCTTCCTCGTTTTGTGTACGGCTTATAGTCACTTCAAATTCTGTTTCGAATAGAAGCCTAAGTTGTTTCTTACCCTTCTTATTGCTTAGAAGAATTTTATGATGTACCATCTCCACTTTTAAGTATATGATATTGTTGACTGTTGGATATGGTATTTGGCCATTTGATCTAATTTAAAATCTTAGCAAAAATATTAAAAATAATCATCCTTAATGAACCTGTTAAAACAAGTCAACAAAATTAAAATGCCTATATAGTTTTTATTAGACAAATGGTTAAACGGCATGACGAAAAGTCAACAGAATCATATTTACAAATGGAGATAATACTAACTCTAAAGGGAAAAGTCATTTTTTATTGAAAGGGTAAGACCAATTTTATCCCATGAACGAGTGTTTGTCTTAGATACACCCCAAACTACAAAACCAAGTATAATACCCCCTCCCCCTAGAAAAAAAATAAATATTGGACACTTCACCCATCTCGAGCTGCTTTACATTGAGTGTGGTACACATGAACGCAACGTAGGATATCACATGTACTAGTGGTCCACGTCAGCCCTTGTACCATGTAAGATGACTTAAACTAATACCATGTGGGCCATGTCAGCTCCAGTGAGTTCGTCAAATAGTAGTGTAATGGATTTGTTGTTTATATGAAAATAATATTGTGTGATTTTGAGTATTGTAGAACGATGGCTGCGACTTCTCGAAGTGGTATGAGCCGTAGACTACCCCTACACCTTATTTGAAGCAGGACCTGTTGAATGATTTGTACGCTGTTGTACATGGTTTGAAGGAGGACAACACTGAGATTAAAGCATCTCTTATCAGTGCAAGGGCACAGATTGATGAGCTCATGACTGCGCATAATGCAGTGACTGATAGGAGAAGAAAACTCAAGGAGAAAGATTGCTCGGCTTGTAAACTTAGTGCTAGAGTTGTTGAATTAGAAGAGGAAATACAATTTCTGTTGTCAATTATTGTCGGATTCGTAGTGCTAATAGTTGCATTGTGTCTTGGTGGATAGGTTTGCTTTCGGGTGCAATCAACTTTCTAATCCATTGAGTCAAGTTAATGTTGAGATGTATCTTATGCATGTGATGGCAATGTACATTAGTTGTGTCCTGAATCTATCTTTGCGATCATGTATTTTTGCTGAAAGATGTTTGTGCATGCACGGTTGCTGAAAGTTGGGTGAAATGTCAATCCATAATTCAAGAGTGCAACATTAATTGATCTGAGCAACATTGAGATAGGTTCTACTATCAGAACTTGAGCAATGGAAATCATCTGTATGGCGTGCATGGCATATAACCCAGTTCGGAAGAAGGCGCATCAACTTTTACTGTGATACTCACGTACTCCAAGCTAGTTGGTTCTGCACTTTTTCAGGATCCCCTAAAAATTCAGGTGGTGTTTGAATCTCGTGAAGATGAAGATAAAAATTAAGTGTTTCACGCAAAACGAGGTGGTAATAATATGTGATTAATTGAGTTTTAATTATTATAAACTTGAAAAATGAATTAATCTTAGTATATTTTAAAACAACTTTCATATAGAAAGTTTTTGCACGAAACGCACTGTTTAGCAGTTTAAAAAGTGTGCCACTTTTATCCAAAAGTTTATCCAGTTTTTGTTGAAGAAAAGAACATAGCCTCAATTTGTTGAATGATGGAACACTAGTACTCCCTCCATACCAAAATATAAAACTTAAGACTGGATAGGAGGCGTCTGTCCAGATTCGTAGTAGTAGGAAATATCCCATCCGGTTCTAGTTTCTTATATTTTGGACGGATGTAGTACTTACGTACATCATACAACATATTGAATTTTTATAAGTTAATCTAAAAAAATCAAATAATTAATAATTAATAGTTAATTAATTATATGCTAATGAGCTTTCTCGTTTTACCTGTGCTACAAAGCTTCCCCGCAATCATGCAAAGAACGCAGCCTGCTCTACTATTCGACCTTTGCTCCATCTAATAACAGCTAGTACTAATATTTTTTTTGAACGAATAACAGCTACTAATATCACCATTGAGAGAGGGGAGACAGCGAGTGTAAATGAAAAAGAGGCTTATAAATGCAATCTTCTAGTGCTCCTCTGGTACAACACCGGTTGTCATGCCCGGCAAGATTGTACGTACTGGATTAAATGTGGTGATACCGGAACCATGTGTTAGCGATAGAGTTCAATTATGCTTCTTTTTTGGCAGTACAACAGTACTGGTAAGATTGAATCGGGCAAGCCAACGGATGCCGGCAGCAGAAAGTTGCCAATAAACTGTTTATAGTAGCATTATTTTCTGTAACCTGACTCTATACAATAAAATTGGAATTGTCTTGTGTCGGTTCGTTAAAAAAATTGTAGCCCAGATACTTAAATCCCAATTCGCTGGGTTTTGGCTCCTAAATGGGTTTATGATGATTTTATCGTGCATTACTCGTAGAGATTCTGCAAACTAGCTAAAGAAAAAGAATGAGCGTCTCGTATCGTAGCAGCAGTTGATCGCTCCAACAACTAGTACTGTGTACCTATTTCCTTTTCGTGCTAATTAATCACACCTCACCTGCCAATCATTATGAGGAGAATGCGTTTTGACGACCTGAGACTTGTATATCTGGCCGGAGGAATATGTTGCCCAGCCGTTATTCTATTCATGCCCGCACGTGCTGGCATGCCTGCGACAGCGTACCAGCACGCTAGCTTAATTAGCTGCAACGTGATCTATTTATATATTTGGTCGTGGTCGATCGATTTTAATTATGTGCGGTGTACAATAACACAGCAGCTGATCGACCCATCGACTGAGAAAAAGGAAGAGCGCGGCGCAAATGGACCGGTCTGTGTTTTGATTGATTCCTGGCTACTGCTTGAAGCAAAGTCAAGAGGCTTTACGGGAGCCACGAAAAAGAGCAGCAAGCTGCAAGCAAATCATGGTGGCGCCTAACCACTGCAGCTGCAAGGCTAGCTGCGCAAAACGAGCCACCTGTCGACAGATCAGTAGCGCAGTTCGTGCTGTGTCCTGAAAAACGGAAGTCAAAAATTACAGCTCGGGTGATGCTGCTCTTGTTCAGCCCTGTTTAGTTCTAAAGTTTTTTTATAAACTTCCAACTTTCCATCACATCAAACATTTCATACACACGTAACTTTTCTATCACATCGTACCAATTTTAACCAAACTTTCAAACTTCAGTGTGAACTAAACACAGCCTCAGTTTCTTTAGGAGAAAGACCTCTTCGTCTCTACGGGCACGGGCGGAGACAGCGTGGGGGCGGGGGTTAATATAGACTTTGTTTAAGGTTGTTAGAAGGCCCAAAAGACTAAGAAGGCCTAAAAAATCCTACCCCAACCCTAAATTTCTCTTAGTTGCTCTTGGTCATTTTGGTTTAGCCCTTGCTATAATTTTATCCTGGCTCCGCCACTGTCTACGGGCCAGATCTCTTCATAAAAATTTACACGGTAAATACACACGCACGCATCACTATATGTCTACATGCGTCACACCATACTCACACACCCAAAAACTAGCTACACATCTCTTATGTCACTAAATTCCTATTTACATATGTATAATATTCATGTGCATTAGGATTTAAAACTTGAGGGTGGAGTCATACACTCATGACTATCACTACACCACTAGTGTTTTTTTTCTTATTATCGGCTAGATCTTTTTTAGAGAATGGTATTTTTTAAACAGCCTCTATATCCAACGGGATATATGCAACCTTTTTAAATTGGGAACTTAGCCCCTCAAACAACTCAATCTGAAATTCACTCTTATAAAGATTTGAAATCAGAACCTTAAGGGGCTACTTAGATCACTGTAACCCCTAAACTACATAAAAAATAAAAAAATGGGCTAGATCATTTATTGCAAATAAACCATAGATTATGTTTGAAAAAATGAATAATATATTCCCTAATTTTGTGATAATATTCGATAGTACAAATGACTAAATTATTTATTATAAAGTTATTTTTAAAAGGGGTTAAGTGCGTTTTACCCATCAACTTTTCACTTTGCCTAGAATATACTCCCTCTATTTCACAATGTAAGTCATTCTAGCATTTCCCACGTTCATATTGATGTTAATGAATCTAGACATATATGACTTATATTGTGAAACGGAGGAAGTACATGTGAACTTCAAAACCAACCATACCCTCTAATTATTGATATTGGACACATTACCTCCATAGCCCCTTGGGCGGTTTTATAGCCTGGTTTTTGGTAATAATCAATTTCATCCCTATTCCGTCCAGAAAAGATATTAAAAACAAAAGGTCAGTATGTCAACTCTACATTTCTCCTCCATCTCCCTCCTCTATGTCAGCTCGAGCTCTCACGAGCTCGCATATGTTGGGATTCTCGAGAAGGCGAGCCAGCAATGAAGCTCGAGAAGTCAGCGGCGAGCAGGTTGACTAGAGATCGGGGAGAATACAACCACATAAGTGAGAATTTACGTGCATCCGCCATGCCATGGCCCACGGGAGGCTTTGACTCATTCCACCTCCACCCCACTCGTCAAGATTGAGGGGATTGTAGCTGCAAGGATAGTGATGTGGAGATAAGAGTGGCAGCGGAGTTTGGGGATCATGCCGACAATGGATCTTGAATAGGAGACGACGGTATAGCTTGGGTAGGAGGCCGTCGGTACGGGGAGCTCCCTAAGCTCTATGAGGAGAGTGGTGACGATGGCGGAGCTTAGGGCTCACAACAATAGCGGAGCTTGGGTAGGAGGGGATGACAGAGTCCTCGGAGAGAATCAAAGCGCCGCATCGTCAGGGCGAAAAGACTCCTAGATATCAACCTTCGCCGCGAGATCTAGATGTTGTGGAGGACCGATCCACGCAATGTCCATCTTCCATCACCACAGACTTGCTCCATCCGGAGCTCCTCATCCCCTTACCATCAGCCCTGTCTGGCCTTGGCCAAGGGGGAGGGCTCCATGTCGAGCTCACCACCGACCCCCTCTGTTCCCAAGCTTGGCCAAAGGGTAGGCTCCCATCAAGCTTGCCGCCGACCCGTCTTCTCCGAGCTGGGTGGGCTTCACGTCCTTGTCATTGGCGGGAGAGCGGAAAGAAGAAGAAGCCCGTGTTGCTACAGCCTAGTCTCACACGACAGTCATGGTGAGTCTAGACTAGGCTAGCCGGCTAGCCTTATGGATTTCTCCTCTCATCTCATGAATGGCCATCTTTGAGGGAGCAGAGTGCATGCAGGATTCAAAAGGATTAGCATACGCCCGTCCGATCCAGAACGTGAACACGGTGGTGCACACGGACGCCTTTTCCTTTCTTTACTACTCCACCACGCACGTTCTTTTTTTTTTCCTATCTTCCAAAGCGAAATACACGAGAACGGGTGCCTGATGAGTCCGTCCGGTACCCTATAGTTTTCAGTGAAACCAGAGAACCAATATGCCAACAACGATATACGAGCGAACACGGATAGCAGGAAAGCGACGCCTGATAACCGTTGGCCGATCTCGACGGACAAACACGTACGCGGACCAAACGAAGATTCAGAAGGACAGTAGCCATCCTGAAAAGCTCACTGCACCGAATAGTAGTAGAGGAGACGAGAATCCAGAAGGACACAGTAGCTAGACTGCTAGACATCTTAAACTCGGCCGGTTCCATTTTGGGTATTGAGCGGATCATTG